ATCAAGATACAGTTTTATGAGGAAAAACTTACCATAAACTTCACCCTGGTGCCAACAAATTCCTACAAAGCTTTTTAGTAATCACTTGGTGAAAGTGTTAGCTAACTGCAGTGTGTAGCATACTCTCCTCTCATTGGTCAGTCAATGAAACCCTCGTTGATTGGTTGTACGCTAAGCGACAACAGCGACAAAAGTTGAACATTTTTCAACTTTCATATGTCGCGTCGCAAGCTCGCATGTGCACGTCTACGTGTACGAGCGCGAAATTTCACATGCACTATTTTCGCCGGTCGCTTAGCTGGAGGAGGGCAAGCGATTGTCGCCTCAACGCACAGGCTCCATAGGAAATGAATGGAGAGCRAGCGACGTCGCCTCCCGTGTGTCGAGCCCTTAAGTCCAAATGTTCAGTTAGAGCGCTACGCCTAATGATTACTGAGTGTTTTATTACAAAGCTGGTTCATGACAGTTTGCTAACGGACAAACGAGAACACATGGAGGCAAACACGTTATTGCCCTTATGTCTTTGGTGGCAGGCAAAAATAAAGCTACTTTTGTCACATGCAGGAAATCTGTTGTTAGTAGTTTTGAGGGAGCAACAGGACTCAGGTTTCACCCAGAGTACAGCACCTGAACCCAATGCCTGAGCTGACCCACTGACCCACTTTCTATCTCCTAGCCCATCACAGGGCCAAGAAAAATCTGTTGGGGAGTAGGAACACAGAGAACAAGGGGTAGTTACACAAACCACACTCTAGAGAAAGAAGGAGGCCACAGAAAGGAGGGGGAAGCCTGTTATTTTACCACTTTTTGGCACGACAGTCACAGCTAACAGCTCAGTCTGGAGTTCCCAACTTCCCGCTCAGTACTGCCCGCCACTACTACGCAAACGTCCAGCTCAGCTAAAACATGCTGTGTGTACATTTTCAAAATTGCATGCCACCCCCCCCCGAAAACCACCTTTCACTGCTTCTTTCAGAACAATCAACATGAATTTTAAAGTTTGTGTTCAGAAGCAGAGCCTGTGAGAGCAAGCGAAAGGAAAGCGGTGGGGGGAGGTCACCGGCTCGCAAAAAGCCTGCACACAGCAACACTAGCTGCTGCTAAAAATACTGTCTGACATGCCAGACCCTCCTCCCTCTCTCAGCTGTAGCTCAGACTGATGCGTGTTCGACTCCGCCTCTTCAGTCAATCTCCTGTCACATCAGCGTGATGAGCAGTGGGTGTGTGTGTGTGTGTGTGGGGGGGGGGGCTTTACACCACCCACTGCTCCGCTTTGAACATCAGTCGCCCACAAAAACAAATGACTAAGAGCTTGTGTACAACTCAGACTTACAATAAAATACTACAGATTATCTAAGGTGGGAAACATTTCATGTTAAACTGGACAGATTTGTGAAAAAATACCTTTGCATAAATGTAAGTAAGTAAAGTTTTATTTATAAAGTGCCTTTCACAGAAATATACTCACAAGGTGCTGTACAATCATCAACGATGTAAAAATGGCGGAAAGATAAAATGAAACAGAATAAAACAAACAAAATAATGAAACATTAAATCAAGAATAAATTCTAAAATTGTAACAGACACACGGTCATGGCAGAGCATGACAATAAATGAGTGTTATGTATGCAAAATTATACAAATCATAATAAGAAAAAATGTTGAATAAAAAAGGGGGGTGAAATTTATGCTAAAAATACAAAAAAAAAAAACACAGAGAGAAGGGGGGAGAGAAAATGATGCCGTTTGTTCAATAATACAAAAACACATAGTTGGCGAGTAGTCACTAAAGGAGTAGGCTGCCAGTAATGGTGAAAGGTTAGCTAAAAGCTTGAGTAAAAAAACAGGTTTTAGGTGTTTCTTGAAGGAGACAATGTTATCAAGGGAGTGCAGATTAACAGGGAGTTCATTCCAGAGCCTGGGGGCCACAGAGGAGACTGTCGGTCACCGCGAGTCTTAAACTCAAGATGCCAACAAGGGAAGACTTGTCCATCCAGCCTGTTGGAGCCAGTCTGACCCAGAGCCAGAGGAGAATGAAGACAACCAAATTATAGTTTCTAAGTCCAGACCTTACTTAGTAATTCTGTCACAAATAGTTTAACGTAAGAAATGCAGCAAATGTTAATGAAACTTTTAGAAAGTAATCACTGGATCCATAACCAATCCAATTTAACAGACACAGCACTGACTATATATAACTCAGTCAGTTTGACAGTTGTGTCTAAATTTGGTGCGATAGTAACAGAGAGTCTGAAAAAGCACCAAAACGTCTTGAGAGAACATGCAACGTTTGATCAAAACTTCTTCAACTCCATTCTCTCTCAACACAAGACAATTTCAGTTTCCAACTCTGGCATGAAAGGCGGTGGATGAGAGACACTCCTTTCATTTTTATACTGTATGAGGCTTGTTTCTGCCCACAGCCAGAACCAGATGGACAAAGAGCTGCACCAAACCAAGCGATGACTTCATATGGAAGCATTTACAGATGCACAGATGTGAGGATTCAGAAAAAGAAAAAATAAACTAAGATGAAATACAGGAACCAGATCAGTAAACCAAAAGAAAGCATATTTTTATGAGCCTGGATCGGATGGCACGCCTTGTTCGCTGACAGACCGTGCAAACAACATGCATATCAGCACACAAACACACACACAACATGCTCATGCTCTGTGGGTGAGATAACCAATTTTAAGCTCTGTGGGTGTGGAGGATGATTTTTTTTTTAGCAGAGGGCGAGCTTTCGTTACCAGAAAGCAAATCATCAGAAGGAGAACTTGGCCAATAAATGGTTAGATTAAACATTTGGCACAAGTATTTGCAAGTCTATTAATAGAGAATAGCTGTGCAGAAGTCGTCTCATATCTTCCTTCCTGCAGGGTTGACCATATGGACAAGAGAGGAGGGAGTAAGTCTTTTTCACCCTTTGAAAACAGGAGGAGCAGAGCACTCCGCATTTCAATCTCCACATGCATCACCTGCTTCTAATCCAATCCAAGACATCTAGTCTCAGGATAAACAGCTTTTTCACTGACAGAGATACACCGGATTGCCAGCATGCTTTGCCTCTTGATCATACATAAAAAAAAGTACAAGATAAGGAAGGCAAAGACACATAATCTGGAAGCAACTGTGAGTGACTTTTACTCATTCAGTCTGATAACGAATAAGGTGATAACAGACAGAAAGATGAAACTGAAAGAAGCCGATTGAGGTGGAGTAGCGTGGGCGAAGAGAGGAACTACAAAGAGACCAGACATTCTGAGAAAATTCAGTCAGCTCTGAGTGTCTCACCACAGTTACTATAAATGAAAACCTTAAAAAAAAAAGAGAAAAGAACAATCCACAGAACTGGTAACTGCTTCACTCGCCATTTCTACTGAACGAGTTAACTCTTACAATGCGCTCACATGCTGACATGGAGGTAGAAGGATCGGAGGAAAGCATGAACTGCACCGGATCAGATATCATCGGCCACGTGTTCAGACAGAGTGAAAAATACCAGGCAACCCAGCTGATCTCACTCATGGGAATCTAACTGAATGACTAAACACCCACTGAATGTAAAGAACGTAGGCACATTTTGAGTAGGGGCACACGGACATTAAAAGAGCAGAGTGGCAACAAGAAACTGTTTAACAAGACTCTTATTGCAATATCATGAAGACTGAAAATAGGTCAATGACGAGATCCATGGACGAGATATTTAAACACCTTACTCCTTTGAGTTTCTTTCACGTTTAGCAACATATTTTTGCTCTATTTGTTTCCACACTAAAGTCCAGCCTAATGTAGGTCAATCACGTGACGGTCTCAGCGAGTTCAGCCTTTGTTTACATTGAGTGCATATCCGCATTTCAGAACTGCAGATCACTGTATCTGGGGAAAAATCAGGGAGTAAATGCTTTCAAACTGCACCAGTTCAGGATATATCTTTTTTTTGGTTTTATTTTATAGTTTGTGATGAGTGTCTTTAAATGACAGAACACCATTATTTTTAAATGACATCTCAGTTTGTGATGACTGTGGTGAGAACTGATCTAACAGATCAGTGTAATGAGAAGTGATGACTTCTCCATCAAACATGTTACAAAAACTAAACTGTGCAACTGCAGGAGGTATAGTACATCATGTTCACAATCTACACTGCTGTGTAGCTTATGGTGTAAAATCCACACACTAAATTAGAGCAAAGAAATAGCATGTCTAATATAGCCATGCATTAGTTATGGGTTTAAAAGTACATTGCAAGACTGGAATAATCAAGAAAAACAGCTCAAATTCTCCTAAATTTAAACTATAATTTCTAATGACAATACCTATAAACCTTAATCTAGCCTAAAATAGCCGTACAGTTTMGTTTTTTAATTGAAAATTATTATTGCTAGCAGAGAAGAAAACTAATCCGTGACTGTCACCAAGCAGACCCAGCAGTGTGACACAAGTCGCCCCGGACGAGCGTGTCATATCTTCAGCTAACCAGTGTTAGCCAGGAGCTAACAAAGGCAAAAACAACAAAGCACACATATGACACGGCTGAGTGTCGAASTTTAACACTTACGTATACTGGTAATGGCCAAGGATAACCAGCAGGTTCTGCTCCGACCGGCGATTTGAGCTTGAGCTCCAGCTTTTCTCCCATTCTCCACTTGACGGCGGCTTGGCTCTGATGGATGGCTGTTACTAACTGCTCTGTTAGCGCGACTTACAACGTGAACATTTAGTCAGGAAAAAAACCTCCGAGACGTGTGAAATAAAAAAGACTTCGACGCTTGTTACGTGAAAAACACACACACGGYGCGAAAAAGTGTGTATAAGTATCTGCCTGTCAACTATATTTTGAGTAAAATGCCTTTATATGTTCACTAGAAATAACATCGAGCCCGAATCGCCGCCATCTTGCCCGGCATGAATAAATATGGCAGGAGGCCACTGGCACAGAGGACCGTGATCATTGCCTGTATGGCAGGCCCTTGTAACATATAATCAATTATGCTTTATATTTTTAAACTAAGCTCACTCCCTCCTTGTAAAAAAATGCTTTATATTTTTAAACTAAGCTCACTCCCTCCTTGTAAAAAAATGCTTTATATTTTTAAACTAAGCTCACTCCCTCCTTGTAAAAATAATACTCTCTTATTAGAATGGAAAGGTTTTTTAATTGTTTCAAAGTTTCCACAAACCTTAGTTTATTTGGCTMTTACAACATTTTCTGTCTAAAACTCAGTTAAAAAAAATCATATTTGCTATCATTTGTTTTTCTCTCAACAGTTCTCTCAAACTCAAATAGCACCACTTTTCATTACGAGTTCTCAGCTCCACATATCTACAAATAATTGTGCTTTGACCTATTTTGTGCTATTTAAGTTATTTATATAGGAAAATGTTCAGCTCATTCAAAAAAATGTATTCTGTGACTTTTAGTTTTTGTAATTTTTATCAATCAACCAATAAGTTTATTCACTCAATTAACATWCAAACACATTTTCGTTTAACACATACTATGCAYGAGTGAAAAGGGAGCAGAAAGAAGAAAACCTTGTATAAACMTGYGCCTTTCTCAATAATTACAATTATTTTTCATGGCCACATACATTAAATCACAAATAGAATATMGCATATATTTTATATATTTATAGCATTTACTTTTAGAATGGTTTACTCATTGTCCTGCACATTTTAGTTTTATCCCTGCTCTTCAGCAGAACTTCAAGTCTGCCGATCAATCATGCATTCACATGAGGTGTTGAAGCAAAGAAACATCTAAAATATTTAAAAGGATRGTGGCCCTCCAGGGCAAGTCTAGATACTTTTAGCATCTAGCTAACTTTTGGCTACTTTTAGCATTTAATAGCAGCTTTCTGCTACTTAGTAAATACCCAGCATTTTGCAACTTTTAGTTGCTTTCAGCATCCAGCCAGCTTGGTGTACTTTCAGAGTCTGTATCAATTTCTGCTTTCAGCATCTATGAGCTTTCAGGCATACTTTCAGCATATAGRGAGCTTACTGCTAATTTGAGCACCTAGACCAGGGGTGCCCAAACATTTTCCCTGAGAGGGCCAAAATGAAAACCTATCCAGGGCTGTGGGCCAAATGCAGTAATATAATACATGAAATACGAATACTTTTAAAGTAAAGTCCTTTATTTTTAGCGATTATGCTATGCAATGGCCCTCTTTTGTTTAAGTCTGTGCGCTTGGATAAAGTCTGCCATACTCTCAAGTAGCAAAGGCTCATGGGACATATCATAAATTGATAAAATATGAGTTTTGTGGCCTTATAAAATGTGCAAATCTACACGTGGGGCTAAATCTGATCTAAATATTTATTGTTGTCATTTCATGTTTCATGTTTAATCCTAATAAATCAAAGATAAAGTCAACAGCATGAATGAAAACTACAGTACCTTCACTACACCCTTTATACAGTCATTTGACCAATGAAAATACTGTGTTTCTACATAGAATAACAGGTTACAACCTTTTAACTTTGGCAACTGTTGGTGGGCCGAATCAAATGGCTTGGCGGGCCAAATTTGGCCCGCGGGCCCCACTTTGGGCTCCTCTGACCTAGACAGATTACTGCTACTTTTAGCTATCTTCAGCATCTAACCAGCTTTCTGCTATTTTGTCAAAACGTAAAACTTTTTCTTTTATTTTTTTGTGGTGTAGATTTTAAACATTTCTGGAAAGTGTTACTTTTTATATTCCTGATCAGGAAAACGTTTGAGATGTTTAAAACGCTGACTGTAGGCAGGTCATATTGTGATTAATTTCAGAGGTAAAGAGTTGGATTGTGGACAGCATATTGAAAACAAATTTTCATACTTTCTATGGCAGTAATTCACAACCAGGGGTACGTACGCGAGCATATAACAGGGGGTATGTGGAAAAAATTACCAGGTTTGTAAAAACATAAAATAAATAAAAATAGGACTGAAGGCCCTATGATTTCCACAATGCAGAAAATACAAACGAAATCACGAAATTAAAGACACAAAATGGAATCCTGTCTAAAACGTGGAATCTCACAAATTTTGCTTATTTGGGGTATTTGATGTATTTTGGACATTGCTGCTTCCTGCACCTGCCATTACCTGATTTATTTATTTAATGAATTATTCACTTTCAATGCAAAGTATTTATCTTTATGTTTAATTTGAGTTGAAATGAATAAAATGCCAGAGACTTAAATATTCTAAGGGGTTAAATAAATATTTTTCATTTAATAATCATCTGTTTTACATTATAGTTTTGGAGAATCATCATTACGTTTGACAGAGGGTGTACTAGTGGTTTGACAAAATGGCTCAGGGGATACACAAGTTTAAAAAGGTTGGGAACTGGTCTGTGGTTTGAAATCATATTACATGGCAAGCCGGCTTGCCATACACGGGTAGGCCAAGAGGAATGAGCACGAGCGATACACCCGTCCCTGAACGCGTGAGAGACGTGACATCACCTCTCTCTCATCCGTAGAGCTGGATAAATACAGCCCGTAAAGTTGAACTCCAACCTCTAAAGAGAAAACTCGACAATTTATGATATTCGAAGAAAAATAACTCGTTCAACATTTATTAACAAAGCAGCAAGACGATGAAAATGTGTTGGAAAAACTGCTTTAAACTTTAATATGAACGTTTAAAAGAACAAAACATGAAACAGATTGGGAACACTGTTTCCCCAAGTCATTTAYTAATGAAAGTTGTCAGTTTATTTGTGTAAAATATTTGCTACATTAAAAAAAAAGAGTTAAATCATTAGGCCTACTGGATGAAATAAAGTTGACGCACACCTTTTGGATCAACAAAGTATTTCTTGTTCTGTGAAGCCTAAAAAATAGGAAATGGTTAAAAAAAACAACAAAATAATACAATTTTTTTTCTCCTAACGTTTGTTTAATTCCTAGCTCAATATTGTTGGACCAAGGATTTTGTTTGGAAGTTGGGGTCWAAAAGTTTGGACAAAAACAGTACTAAAATATGCAGATTTTATGCATRTAGAGACAAGACTGATGATCCAAATGAATGTGTTGCAAAAAACAGCATGTAGAGTTCACAACCTGGATTTAACCACAGTAAGTGAGGATTTATAATAAACTGATGGACTGAATTCATATCTTGTTAAACAGTTACTCTGTCTCCATGCAGCATMACAAAAGGCCTCATTAACTTAAAACCCCAAAAAGGTACAAGCATTCACACAAAAACCTGCACACCGCTGTTGATGCAACAGGACAAAGACCAGCAAAGGTTTATTTCTTTCCAAAGTCCTAGAGCAGAGTTGGGTTAGTGTGGGTTAAGTCAACAAACAAGCCACTAAACAGTCAGAAAACCTGTCTGTAACTGGAAGAAATAAAATCCTGTAACTGGACAGTTCAGTCTCATGGAAGCTGGGAGCAGCCCTTTCACACAAGCATCTAAATCCATTTGTCATGCTGCATTTAGTCCAGAACCCTAACCTGCCACAGAGCTGAGAGTTTTCACACCCAGCTCTTACACTGATCACTTTTAACTACACACAACTCAACATTTTAACCACACACAACACAACGTTTCACTGATGATGCTTTCAAACAAACACAGATCCTTTCTGTGCTTTGCCACAATCAGCCCATGGATCCTGTGTGAAAGGTGAGYGGGTCAGTTCCAGCACAGGCCTCTGATCAGATCAGAAGTGAGTCCTCAGAAAGTCAGCGTGTGTGTGTGTGTGTGTACAGACATGTATATGTTGATGTATGCAGGGAGGATCTGGCAGCCAGCCACAGTGAACTTGCTGACCGGACCCCCCTCCCACTCCCACTCCTCCATCCCACCCTCCCCTCTCTGCTTCCTGAGCTGGGGCCAACGTTGGGAGAGGGATCCAGCACAACAAGGTTCAGGCACAGTCGAGTCCAGCCAACTGGAACACAAGTCCCTGTGCAGATTTCTGGGATCTGTGTCAGATTACAGCGAGCCCTCATGCTGCAGGGTTGTTTGGTCAAAACAGTTTCTGCTCATAGTCTTTTTTATTATTATTATTATATTTTTGATCAGATCCAGGTTTTCTGTGCAAAAACAAATAGATTTGGCAGTAAAACAAATTCAAAAATAAATAAAAACAAATRTGTGTTTTGATAAAAATAATGATCAGATTGAACACATATTAAACACAAAATGACAAACAGACCCAATTGCTTCATTAATGAAATTTTACTATCTAACATAAAGCAGTCTGGAAAAACTCAGGTCATCATTATAACTGTGAAACTGCTGCCATTTAGTGGACATGAGTAATACTACAAGTCTGCAGCTTAAAGGGGACATGTCCTGCAAAATCCACCTTTTTTACATTTTGTTGTGTGAGTGCAGAAAAGTTGAATAGTTTCTCCCGGTGCTGTGTAGATATCTTTATATTCTAACTGGGTCATATTTTTCAGCCCGTTCAGTTTACTCTATTCTCTATAACATATTCTGAACTATTACATCAAATTATTTAGGAAGGAACTTAATCAAGACTTAATCATTCCTCATCCTCTTCTGGTTCTGGGTCAGACTCTGGCTCCAACATGTAAGGCTGGATGGACAAGTCTTCTGTTGTTGACATCTTTTAATTCATTTGTAAATAAAAAGTTTCTGCACCGCTATTAAGTCATAACCCCCGTATCAAACTATAGACCAGTCTGGAAGCTGGAGGGGTGTGTGAAGCACCTCATTTCGAAAGAGGTTGATCAGAGACACACCTCAGAAAAGTGGTGAAAGTGGGGCTTGTGGAGTTACAAGGAAGAATTCAGACGAAAGGATTGCAGTTCCACTTAACACAGAGCCCAACTGAAGGATTTAAAAGCACAATGTGTATACTTTAACCGTTTTAAAGAAATAAACTTGAAAAAAAAAAGACAGTTCAAAATATGTAAATTTGTATTTGATGGTAGATTATTTGTTGTAACAATGTTTCTTGGCAAATACATCTTTTGATTGGCAGCAGCTGGGGGTACCAGAAGCTCAAAACTAGTGTCAATAGATGCAGCAAAATAAGCTTGGCAGAGATGATTTGGATTTTCATAACCCACTACTGCTCATGTTCCTTACAAATGTGGCACCATTTAAAAGCGAATCCAACAGACTTTCTGACAGTCGATTTATTCCCAAGAAGCATTGTTACAACAAAGAAACAAACAGGGGCGGAGCTAGACTGTTTTACAAGGGGTGGCCAAGATGTTTTTAAGGGGGCACCTRCAAATAAGTGGATTTTAGAATTCAAGATGACCACAACTTAAAATGCCTCAAATTCAGATGTTTTAAGAAATATTGAACTGAAATGTTGAGTGATGATGGCAAAGAATGATCTAAAACAAGCTGATTGCTAATCCCATCTAAGCTAACTGCTAATTATAATTTCACAAAGAGCAATACTTCTGCCATTTTTTTCCAGACAAAGCTAAAAGCTAGTTCAGTAGTGGCCCAAAAACAATAGTTAGCAAATTCTAAACAGTAATGAAAAATTCAAGATGGCCGTCAGTTAACTTTAAATGGCAAAAATCATTGATTTAAAATGGCAGCCACATCAGCGTTGTCGTACAAGTTTCTCAAGGAACTTCTCTGGTTGCGCCTGGTCACTGCTTACAAGAAATATCTCTAAATTTATATTAACTGGATCTTAATCCCAGAAAACATTGCACACAGTTTATTAATTTGGTACAGAAATGTCTTACTTTYCTCCAGGTGGCACCTGAAGAAGCCCTACCCCCGCCACCAAACAAATTTCCTTACTTTTCGTGCAGTTCACAAACTTATGTACAAAGTAGGCAATAAAAAAACTATAGTTAGAAAGTTGTCCCCACCCTGCTTTTGTTTCTAAACTGCTGTTTTGCCATTCAAGTTTGACTTATTTCATTAATTCTTTCCTCAATAACTTTGTGAAAAACAATGAAAGTAAATTTAAATCAAGCTCTGCACAAATGAATTGCAACAACTSCTTCACATTTTCCCAAACAAGGGTTTGAGAGAATTTTATTGAATCGAAAATCACTTTAAGTCCCTTATGGTTGTCAAAAAGAAAAAAAAATGAATCGACATACTTTGGATTTTAGCGTCAACATTTTATATCTCTTTCAAAGCCCTCATTGCTTAAACAGCAGCATTAATAAACTGGTGGAAAATTAAACAACAAAAAAGAAGTATACATCAAGGTATTTTGGCACAATCAGTTTACAGTGGCACTGTGCTGGCAGATCCTTACAGTTTGCTCCCTGCTGGCTCCTATCATCACTTCCTGATAAACTCAGAATGGAAGTGCAGCAGAGATGCACGACAACAGTGTGTGAATGTTGATGGAAAACTAAAGGCAGAATGACGAAGAGTCTTTGTTGAATTGAACAGGTCGATTCTTCACAGAAGATCCAGCAGAATTCAACACTGATGTTCTTCACGCTCCAGTGGTGAACTTAACGTAGCGTTTATTTTTAATTCTTTTCAAAAAACTAATCAGAATTTAAAACAGTGTGAGGAAATACGAGGAAGGAAAGAATACTGCAGCATCTCTCTTCGCCAACATTTCCTGATCAATAAGCACTTCGGTACACATGCTGGTCAGAGCCAGGTCGAATTGATCAACTTATTCAGGATTAAATCTTACTATCATCCCTCTGAGAAAAAAAAAAAAAAACTAACATTCATTTAGCATGCATTCTGTAGGACAAAGAGATAAAGTGTCATTTGGGGAAACCCCGCYTCAGTAACAGCAAGATCAGGAGAAAAGTGCTGATTTTTTTTTCATATTCACATAAAAATAACAAAAACTGTATATAAGAAATACATTCATTGATAAATCCAAGTCGCCCTGCAGCGTGTCAGATCAGACGGGATAGATCTTTGAGTGACGTGGCTTTGAAAAAGGCCAGGTCCTCCATGGAGACGGGCTTCACTGGGAGGATGAACAAAGATGGCTTCATCTTAACAGTCGCCTCAAAATGGGACAAATCAACAAAATACCTGTTGTTTTTTAGACACAATAAACTAGTTCTAAACAWGACTGTCATTAGATCGATTTGGAAATTGGAAAAATGAGATGTGCACCCAGATTATAAACAAATCAGAGCCAAATACGTGTTTTTTAAAGGAACTATTTAACCAACGAGGAACGCTGCTGCTCATCTCCACGAAGCAGACGGCTTTAAGGAAAATCTGCAGCTCCAGAAACTGAAAACTAAACATTAACATATCATTTTAGAAAAGCCAAAACACAAAAAAAGTGTCAGAGCTTATTTTCTCTTTTTAAACACTCGTCTATTCTTTAAAAAAAAAAAAAAGCTATTGTCAACAGTTTTGATAATTACACAAGAAAGGCATTTTCTGACTTAAATACTGGCAGGCATCCAGGATGAGGACATGAGAAACAGCTTTAAGAAATGACTTTTACTGAGAGGGAAACAAATTCACCCTCCCATGAAGTGAAAAATAAATAACAAGAACGACATCCAGCCTCATAAGAATGCAGGTGTGTGGCAAAAACTAAAATCGTAACAGATGCGTTACGGTGCAGTTTTTAACCTCAGAGCCACTTTTCCTCCTCTTTCAAAAGCAGGGAGGGTTATTTAGAAAATCCTCCAGGAAAGTAGAAAATCCCCCACTGTGATTCAGACCTCTGTGTACTTAAAAGGCAAGATGGGCTCATTCTGGATCCACTTCCATCTACTCTCAGACCTGGACAGAGTGGGCATCGCCACATCTTTAAAAAGAACAACAAAAAAAAAAAGTCTAGACCCCTCTACTGCTTCTTTTTGCCCCGGTGACAAAAACAGATTTCTCTAAGTGGAAGCAGATTTTTCCTTTATCTGCCTGGATTCCAGAGATATCAGGAAAAGCAGTGTCTAGTAGCTACTTTTAAAGTTGCTGTTGATCGTACTCTGCAATAAGTTTCTTTATATGTGCCAGTTTGCTGTGAAGATATTCACAACGGTTCTTCTCTTGGCTATAGTTTGGATTAGTCTGGAAAAGATTAAAAGAAAACAGTGTCAAATTTGGAAAAAATCCTCTCATAATTTGCTGCTAAAGTGAGTTAAAAGGAACCCTGACTAGTTGTAACAGACATTTGTTTTTACTTAAACTGGAAAAATACTGCTTAATGTGTTACTGTCACATGGACTTCATATGATTAACAACGCACACCAGGTAACTTATGACAATAGGTGCTCCAGCACGAGGCTGAGAGAGCTCTATATCCATCCTGATATATCTGACAATCAGTCCTTTTAAATGAAATCGGAGCACGTTGACAGAGGAGAATGCAGAAGTGACTAAAAATGTGGATGGAGGACAACAGAGCTGCTTCATGGAAGGAGAACCTCAGCTTAGCCTGTTAGCTTTCGCCTTAGCGCCCAAGCTAATACAGCATTAGTTCCCGAGCTAATAATGTTAGCTTGTGATGTACACGTGTATTATCTTGATTTGATTTATTTATTTAACAGGAAAAGATAATTAAAAATCAAGCCTGACTCAGCAT